GGGCTGGGGATTCGAACACGCCACCTTAGGTGTACGTGGCTGGTGCCTTAGCCGGTTGAGCTATGGGCGCCGAGCCTCAAAAACTAATTTTGAAAGAATTACAGAGGCACAGGAAGTTGCAAAAAAATAGTCCTGGGTACCCTTTACCCAGCTTCTCCCAAAACTGACATTTTACACGATGGAAGGACAGAATCAAAACTAAGAAATGACAATCAGGACACCATTGCTAAGCAAACCACAGAGCTTACCCAGTTATCCCCCCCAACACACACAGGTAGAAACTCCTAAATCTTACTTTCTAGGCCCTGACAAAGTTGTAGAGGTACTGGGCTCATATCTACATGGGCCATTGGTGACTACCTGCAAGATTACGTGACTGTCCCCATTAGCCCTTAGTCTCTGACACATGCTCAAACCAGTGCTCTGCCCTCAAGGTCCCCGTTGCCATCTGAACTCCACAATTGCCTTTTTCTTCTCTGTGCTTCACGTGAAGGCAGGCCTGAGGTTTCCAGGGCTGCTCTGGTTTTGAAAAGGCTGCATACAGTAAGGAGACAGAAATAGAAAGTCCGTGGCTGCAGATTTCAGGAGGGAGGGATGTGCTCTAGAGGCAAGAAGAATCAGCCATAGAGCTGTATCTTAGCAAAAACTGAGTGGGAACTGTGTGGTTTCCGGAGAAGGCAAAGTGCTCACACAAAGCTGGGACCTGCATAGACCTGCCTGACAAGGCCTCTGAGGATCTGATTTGGAGAAGTGCAGGAGGCTTCCAAGAACAGGCTACTTTCTACATCTGAAGGAACCCACTCGAAAAGCTGAATAATCTGACAATACAAGTCTCCTGCTTACATGGTTAGGGTCCACTGTCCCTTCTATATCTTAACTCTGCATCTCCCGGGGACTATTCTCAAATGTACAGCAGAGAGGTTGTATCGCATCATGACAAAGGAGCTCAGGATGACTGAACTCAGGCCTATCAGCACCAGGGTTTGCAGAGCCCCAAAATGTGGCATGATGGTCAACATAACATGCCCTCTCGTGAGCCCATGGTGCCCAGTTGGTTGTCAAACACCAGTCTAGATGTCCTGGGAAGGTATTTTTTTAAGATGTGATTCACATCTAAATCAGTAGACAATTTAGCCATGTGTCTAAGGTTTTAGCTACCTGGGAGGCTGAGACAGGAGGATCACTTGAACCTACGAGTGGGAGGCTGAAGTAAGCTGTGATTGCACCACTGCACACCAGACTGGGCAACAATGTGAGATCCTGTCTCTTTAAATCAACTGGTAGATGGTGAGTAAAGCAGGTGACCCTCAGTGGTGTGGGTGAGCCTAGTCTAATCAGAAGAAAGCTTTAAGAGAAAACCTGAGGTCCCCTGAGGAAGAGGAAATTCTTTTGTCACTAGACAGCCCTGGGTCTCCAGCTGCAGTGTCAACTCTTCCCTGGGTCTTCAGCCTGTCCACCTGCCTTTCAGATTTCAGACCTGCCAGCCCCACAATCTCATGAGCCAGCTCCTAAGAATATATCTATACAGTCATTCTCGCCTAACAGTGGGGAACTGCTGTGAGAAATGTGTCGTTAGGCAGTTCTGTCACTGTGTGAATGTCAGAGTGTACTCACAAACCAAACAGGCCAGCCCACAACACACCTAGCTCCAAGGCTGCATGTTCCTATGCTGCATACTTTGGGCAGTTATAATAATATGCTAAGTACGTGTATATCTACACATATGAAAACACAGAAAAGACACAAACACAAAGGGCACAGCAAAAATGCAGTATTATAATCTTAAGCAGGAGTCCTCAAACTACACCCCAGGGGCCACATGATGCCCACCTAGGACATTTATCCGGCCTGCTGGGTGTTTTTGCCGCCGCTGCCTGTCCTAGTTAGCAGCCGACTCATCCCAGGGCCCGGAGTCCGGCCCTCCAACGGTCTGAGGGACAGTGAACTGGCCCCCTGTTTAAAAAAGTTTGAGGACCCCTAATCTTAAGGAACCACTGTCACATACATGGTGCATAACTACACACACACATCTTATTGGTTCTGTTTCTCTGGAGACCAAGAAACCAATATTCCTGAAAACTCTGCCTGCCACCTTCTTCAACCAGCCTATAAATCAGAAGTTCTCAACCTGTGGGTCGTGACCCATAGGAACTGTATTAAAGGCTCACTGCATTAGGAAGGTTGAGAATCACTGCTATAAATAGTCCAGAATGTTTCTGTCCAGAATATGCGTTTCAAATGTCTTCAAAGGCAAAGTTAGCCATCAGAGGGAAAGCTGCCTGTGGCCGGGGCAGCCAGCATCACTACATCCTGCCAGGGCTGGGCTTTCTTTCTCAGGACCAAGAGCCCCTGGTAGAGGCAAGGGCCTCTGGACCCAGAAGCCAGTAGAAAGCAGAGGCCTGGCCACTTTTCAAAGCTGTCTGCTGTATCCAGAGGCATCTGCCCTTACCACACACAGACCAGAGAATAGAGTTGGGACACTGTCCCCCTGCTACTTACCTTTCTGGCCATGATGAGGCCTGAAGGTCTGTGCTGGACTTTGGTGACCACCCCACCATTGCCCGCACCCAGCTCTGAGATCCTTTCAAAGTCATCATCCTTGAGCTCGCCAACCTTGGCCTTCTGGGTGAGGAAGGCTTCTAGTCGCTTCTTTTGTTGCTCGTCGAGTTCTAGCTCCTCGAGCTTCTTTTGGAGGTCCACTAGATTTGTTCTGTGGAGACCCCGAGTCCAAAGATTAGAAGATTACATGTGAGCTATAGAAAGATGACTCCACTACAGCCATGTCTATCACATGGCAAGCTGAACCAGGCCTTGGGAAGACAAAGTGGAGACAGATGGGATTCTTACATTTCAGGGTACAATGGTGCAGCAGGAAAGAAGAGTATGTGCCTCTCTCCCCTAAACACACCCTGATTAAAACTGAGAGCCAGCTCCCTAGATACTGAGGACACTTGCCTTGATCACAGCTCAGGAAGGTTAAGAGATCTTAGGAACTTAAGGGCAAGCCACAGCCCAGGGGAGCCAGAAGGCCTCCTTCCCAGTGTAAGAACTTTAACCACACTGGGAAGAAATGAGGATCGGGGTGGGATGGAGTGGGGTGGGGATCAGGCAAGTGAAGCCCAAGACAGGATGCCTGTCTTAGCCCAAGAAGGAGGAGCTGGTATTCTGAGTGGCCTCCAAGCAAAGAACCAGAACCAACCACTGGAAAACAGAAGTTGCAGCACATAAGCTGCATCACACATGCACTTAATTTACATGAAATGAACACTGACACTGGAGGGAGAAGAGGAGGGGCAGAATTTAAATAGTGCGACCAATTCCAGGACATTCTGTACAATCAGCATGCTATTATATCCTTCATGTTACTGTCAATATTTTGTATTTATAATATGCACAATTCCTGAACTTGGATATTAAAAAATTGACCAGCTCAGTGCCTGTGGCTCAAGTGGCTAAGGTGCCAGCCACATACACCTAAGGTGGCGGGTTTGAATCCAGCCCAGGCCCGGCAAGCAACAACGATGGCTGCAACCAAAAAAAAGTAGCCAGGCGTTGTGGCAGGTGCCTGTGGTCCCAGCTACTTGGGAGGCAGAGGCAGGAGACTCACTTGAGCCCAGGAGTTGGAGGCTGCTGTGAGCT